GAGAGAAGTTATGACTAAGAGAAATAATTTTTTTTAAAAAAAAAAGATAAGTCAATAATATTATATATATATATATATCAAATTTCTCTTTATTTTTTTTGTCATTTTTTATTTCTAAAAATTTTTCAAAACATTATCCTTATAATAGCAAGTAATTACTCTAGATTATTAATCTTCACTTATATTTTATTTTTTTTAAATATGCAAAGGTACTAATTTTTTTATACTAGTATATATACAATTTAATTATTTTTTTTAATTATTTATCTTAATTTTAGATTTATTTTAATCTTTTATATTTTAAAATATTTATTTTGATCATTTATCTTCTAAATTCAGGTCAATTTATTTTTTTTATAATTTTTTTTACTTATTTATGATTTAAAATTTGTTTCATAAGATTTACTTGTATGAAAATTATTAAATACAATTGAAGTTCAAATCAAAAGTGTTATAAATATAGTAAAAATCAAAATTTTCAAAAATAACTTAATTTCATATTTTTTTTTATTTATGAGATATATTTTCACACAATTTTTACTATATTTATGGCCTTTATATTTTGAACATCAATTGCATTTCATAATTTTCTTCTAGATGATTTCTAATGTTACAACTTTTACAGCTTTCATTAATTAAAAATTGATTCAAAATCATGGTACAAAATTGAAAAAGATTGTTATTTTAAAAAGATCAAATTGATTCAAATATAAAAGATAAATGATCAAAATGAATATTTTAACAAATAAAAGACCAAAATAAATCTTAAAATAAGATAAATAATTAAAAGTATAATTTGACTTATATATAATAAACATAACTTTCACACATTTTCTTACTTTTCCCTCCATTTCATAGGAGTATTCATGGATCAGGTTGGTTCAAATTTAAGTAAAAATTCAATTTGGTATATCCAATTAAATTTAATTGGTTTGGATTGATTCAAATTGCATAAATTTTTTTTGCTTAACCTAAATTGAATTGATTTGATGTTAATTGGGTTGGTTTGATTCAAGTCATTAGATATCCAATAATTTTTTTAAAAATAATTAAATTAAAAAAATTCTCAAAATAAATAGATTTTTCGACATTAACTAAATTGATATACTATTAAAAATTAACTAAATTAATTTATTTGATCTATAGTTTATCTTGATTTGTTTTATTAATCTACTTAAAGATTTAAAATACACTTTAAGGTGTGAAAATGATACTCAATATATTACAATGTAGTTTTTCATGGTATTTCTTTAAGTATTTGAAAAAATGAATTAAAAAATATACATATTGTAACATAAAAAACGTCTTCAAAATAATCAAAACGATATATACATATTAATTATTAACCAAATAAAAAATAAAAACATATAAATTAATTAATTTGGTTGAGGTTATTTGGATTTTAAACATGTAAACTTGATACCCAAACCAATTAACATCAAATTTAATTGGTTTGGTTCAAATTAAATTCAAACAAAAAAAATCAAAATTAATTAAACTGGATTAGTAAGCTCTAAAGTACTTTTACAATTTTATTTTAAATACAACAAATTCTTTCTCGTGTCTTTTGGCATTAAAATTTGTAATCATGCATTGAAGTTCATGCGAGTTATTTTCTAAGCAAGTTTTGGATTTTTTTTTCTCCCTAATTAATTTTTGTTGGAAACTGTAAGCTCACACAAGATGAATATTTTTCTTTCAACATAATTTATGTCATATCCAATGTCAGAATTTAAATCTTAGGTAACTTGATTAAGAGATACAAATAACTACTATTTGTGTTAACCAATATTAGTAGGTGATTTGTTATTTATAAGGCCTAAGGCAGTCCATCATTAATGACTTGTTAAAAAAAATGTACAAGTCAATTTTTTAATAAAAATTAGATAATTCTTCCATCTACTGTTGAATACAAGTAATAAAAATAAAGTTATATTAAACTATCTTTTCTTGATTTTTTTTAAACAAAAGTTTATATTAGAATAAAATACGACTTCACGAAAGGCTAAAGTCAACTAACAATCTTTTTGATGATTTTCAAAAGATATAAAATATAAGGGAAATCGAATTTGATCACAAGTCCTAATTAGTAGAAGTAAAGAAACTTAATCAGTTGTGTCACCATTTCGCTAAATAATCAATTATTTGCAAACCTACTCTCGAGTCAAGTAGAAATACGAAAAAATAATCAATTATTTTTTATAGATAATTAATTATTTTGAGCAAAAACTCAATACTCCAAAATTTTCACTTCAAATTTTTTCAATTGATTTTAAACCTTATTCATATTATTCTTGATCATCAATCATCAACTTATACGAATATTATAAGGTGACCTAATGATATAGCACTAAGTATAAAACTTAAACATACACAAAGTAAAACAAATAATACAAGTTGCACTCGTTCAAAGATAAACATTTATATACACTTGTATTCATCAAACTTCTTAAGTTTCAACTTGATCTTGATCAACAAAGTGAATTAGACCAATGTAGTACAGAAAAGGAAAGTCAAACTACAAAGAGAATTCTCAGCACCTAAAGCAACACATTCAACATTGTCTTCTTTATTTCATCCCATTATAATGTCTACACATTTATGAAGCCTTGAAGCTCCAAACAAGTGTGAAGAATTACCATACTGTAAAGATTAAAGATCACATTTCTAACAACCAAGTGTTTAAGGCTCTCACCAACGAATATATTTGAAGCCTATAAATACAAGAGGAATTGAAAAGAAGAAAATAATAATGAATAACACTAATCATTGTGAATATTGTATTACCTTTATAAGATTAATCTTGTAAACACTAAAATCTTTTTACCCTTGTAAGCTTGAAGATGTCAATAAAAGAATATTGTAATAGGTTTTTTCTTCTATAGTCAAGAATGACACAGAAAATACTTGAATTGTAGAAAAGTTTTCAAGTTAGTGAAATCTTTTAAATTTAAAGGTAACTAAACTTGAACATAGTTAAGATTAAGTGAACCATTAAAAAATACAATGATTTATTTTAATCCCTTGTTCCCTCACATTTACTAGAAGAAAATGTTTTACAAACTTATAATGATTATTTGTGAAAAAGTTAAAATGACACACATATTCAACCATTTATGTGTTTTTTTTTAATTTTCACGTGACACATTGTTTCAAAAAAATGTTTCAATCGAATACCACTATATTTTAACATACTTTTTAATAATAAAAAATTAATAGGCTTGATTGCATATAAGAAAACTTATTTGTATTATTAAAGCGAATTGATAGAGTATCACAATATGCACTAATGATGTAATAGAAAATGTTTATTCTCTTTTTATCCACTCTTAATCTCATATTCTATCCCATCTTATTCTATCTTATCTTAACCATCAAACAAAGTGTAAAGGATGTTTATATTTAAACCACACTTATACAAAAAAAAATAAAATAAAACAGGGGTTCATATTGAAGCCAACTATTTTTTTTCCTATACACCTCATTTCAAATACATTAATTATAATAACTTCATTTCAAATAATAAAACAATAGCTCTCATCAATTTTCTTTCATCTATATCTATATTTATATATAAAAAGATTTTTTTTAAAAAAAAATTTGTATACATTTTGTTTGAGACAATTTTAATCTTTTAAATAAAATAAAACCTGTTAATCGCACACTATTTTATTGACACGAATAGTTAAATAGAGATAAGAAATATTTTTTTTTCTCCTTAGTAAATTATACAAATTTAAACTCAAAACTTATACATCCTACTTTATTCTAAATCTTCATTTTTATTTTTTAAGCCAGCCGTAATAGTGGAGTCAATCCAATACACCTCATAAAGATCTATTTTTCAGCGAGTAAGGTCCAACAATATCGCTCAAAATATTCAAAAATACAACCACAGAGTCTTTTGTGTACAATAACCACGATAAAGTTTGAGTTTAAAATTTTAATCAAATTATCTGAATCTCCTCTCTCTAAGTCAACATAGTGACTTGCACAACTTTAACTAAAATATAATTACCCAACATACATTTTAACTCAAGCATAAGTAC